ATCAATGACGAATCAAACACAATTAAAGGACGATAGTGAATGCAATGACAAAATTAAATTACGGGTTTATGACAAATTTTCATATGATTTCTCAAAGAAAATACCCCGGGTGAAAACAAATATAGTACTTGGTAAAAATAATACAATTTAAAATTTTCAAGTTTGTGCACATTTAAAACACAAAAAACTCGATTTACTTAATTTTGCGATTGTTAACGAAAAAACGAATTTCAAAGAGTTGCTTTCGCGGCTTGCGGTCGAAGCCAACAATCGTAACATTAGGAAGTTAGAATGGCCTAAGGATGACTTATTTTTCAAATATTTTTCAATAGCAAATTTAAAAGAGCGCGGAAATAAAGTTTTAAAGACATTACATATTATATTAACAGATCCTGTCGAAACTGTGACCGGCGAAGAAAAGAAATACCAACTTATGACAATCTACCACAACGACCCTGTTGAATATGTTACTTGCTCGATATTTTCCTTGGTAAATATGTTACTAGTGTGCTATGTGATTGAACGATTGTCGTTGATTGTCATATGAAATAAAGTGAATATTTTATTATTTTTATTTTGTTAAATTCATTGCAATCAGACGTTTTATATTGCACTGGAATAATTTCAATAATTTCGGCAACTGCCGCAACATTTTGGTGCCGAAACCCGTGATCGTTTTGCGCATTTTGCAGAAAAGGCTGCATGAATTAGGTTGTATTGTTCTTTTAATATTGGTATATGTAGTTTATATTTGTTTTAGCGTGTATGTTGCCGGTTTTTAGTTTGGAAATTGTCATTGGCAATCATCTTTTTCACCCCTATGATGAATAGTACAGCCGTTGAAGAGCATGCACGATATTGCACTATTCGTGGTCATGACTCTCACAGTTTGTCTGCAAATTTGGGACGCGTCGCAGTACCTGATTTTGGTCCATGCTGTGGTGGCGTCAATTATGATACACCGCTTGCAAATTTTGGACGCGCCGCGGTACCTGCATTCGGTCCATGCTGTGGTGGCGTCACTTATGGTACACCGCTTGCAAATTTTGGAAGCATGGCGGTACCTGGTTTTAATCCATGCTGTGGTGGCTTCACTTATGACACACCGCTTGTCGTCGTTCGCGTCGTTCGCTTGCTGTTACACGGTGGTGTCATACCACTCAATATTTATTCGGACATTAGCGAGTGTGCGAAAGGACGTTATCATAATTGATACATAGCGCGCAGCATTTGGTTTAATTGTGACTTTGAGCTAAAGCATTTATATTAATGCTGTCATTTCTTTGCAGGACTTCGCGGAAGTGGTTTTTGAGTGCCTATTAGTCGGTTTAACATTCAGCTCTTATTGCATACGTCGAATTTGTTTTTGGTTTTTCCACTCTACGATGAATTCTGCGTACACAGAGTTGGTTAAGGATAGAAACCTTCTTAGTAAGCTCATCAAGCGCCTTGATAAAAGATGTCAGTCTTTAGAGGCACAGTGCTGGAATGAAGCAGAAATTGATATGCAAAAGGCTACTTTAGAAAGACATTGGTCATCATTTCAGACCAAGCAACTAGCGGTATCTGAATTGCCTAGCATCAGTGAGGAGACTCGCTCTCGGAACGAAGCAGTTGCCTTCGAGGTGGCGAATTTATACTTTAATATCAAACAGCGATCGACTGCGCTTATGAATTTGGCCAACCCTAACCATGGCCGGACTTTGCTTAAAGTGTCGGAGATTAAACTGACTAAGTTTAACGGCGATTATACTAAATGGACTTCTTGGCGCGCATAATTTGTGAGTAAAGTATTGGAAACTGAATTGTCTTCAGGGTCGTAAGTCGATTTGCTGCTAAAAGCTTTGGAAGGTGAAGCTCGGAAATGTGCATGACAAGCGAGACATCGTGACAAAGGTGATTTAGATAGAATTTGGAAGAAATTAGAGGACACGTATGATAACCCTTATCAGATTGTGACGACGCATATTAATCAGCTTACCGATATTCCGACGATGGAATTTGGACGATCAGATAAATTGCGAATAATTATTGATACCGTCGAACAAGAACTGCGATCATTGGATCGGTTTAATTGCAGCACAGATACATGGAGCCCATTTATGGCCGTGCATGTGTTGCGTAAACTTGACAAGTCAACCAGGGCTGCGTGGGAAATGGATAGGAATCCTACCGACCCTCCTTCACTCTCAAAACTGCTGCCGTTTTTAGAAAGGCGCATTTTCGCGATGCGTAACATAAAGGCAAACAGATTAGGCTCTGCAAGTGTAATTACAGACCGGTGTTTTAACGATGGTCAAGGCAAGAGGTGTGCCACTGACACGGAGAGTTATCGCGATAAGCGATTTAAGTTCAGCAACGAGTTTTCTGTCAGCCAACTAGCCGTGAACCTATTTTCGAGTAAGAAAAGTAGTGACAAGTGCGCATTTTGTAAAGGAGGTCATCACTCATGGAATTGTGAGAAACTCGGCAGTATGGGATACAATGACTGAGTGGGCAAAATTAGAGATCTTAAGCTTTGTGAATCTTGTTTGTCAGTTGAGAATTTGGTGCAAAATTGCAAATGGAGAGGGTGCAAGGCGTGTAACTACGCGAAACACAATCGAATTAATTGTCCCAAGTATCCGGAAGGGGCGCATGGAACGGAAAGTTCATATTGCTACGGCTGGCTGCTCGTCCATGTTTTCAGGTGAAAAAATGGATCTTTATGAAACGGCGAAGCCTGATGAAGGGTTGTCGATATTATCGATATTATCCTATTGGATCAGCAGTGTGTCACTTGTGGCAAAACGCCGGAACGCTAACCGGAGACGTGCGCCTATTGTGCGATAGCGGCTCACAGCTAAATCTAATAACGCAAGCGTGTGTTCATAGGTAGTGTCTTAATCGCATGCCGTGTAAGATCTCCATCAGAGGTGTCGGTGATGCACCACCGATTCAATCGCTGGTTTACATTGATTGTGTATTGTGCCACATAGAGAACTCAGAAGCTGCTTTGCAGGTGCGTTTTGTCATTTTTAAAAGGATATCGGGTAAGAATCCGCAACGAGCCTTTAAGTGCAGACTTATGAGTCAGTTTCAAAATGATGATCTCTCGGATCCAACGTTTGCGGTACAGGGGCCAGTTAGGGGCCTCATATGTGTTTCAACTTGGGCTTCAATAATACGGAATGGAATAATTCGTTCTGATTCAGACGCTAGTCGGTTTATTGCTCAACAATCAATGCTTGGATGGGTTATGTCGGGCTGTGTCTGGAATGTTGAACCTTTATGTTCTCTTTCTTTTCACATCTCTCATTCCTGCTACAACTTAGAAAAAAGATTCGAATTATTTTGGTCGGTCGATGACGGCGAAGACCATTGTTTGCGCACTTCCGAAGAGGAACGCGCCGTGAATATTTTTGCATCGACGTATTCTAGGGATGAAGAGGGGCGGTACGTAGCAATGATACCATTGAAAGAAATATCCATTCCTCTTGGGCGCTCTCGTCCGACGGCTTTTGACAGATTTTTGGCTTTGGGAAACCGGCTCAAAAGGAATACTTGCATGGCAGAAACCTGTAGAGACTTCATGGATGATTATGTTAAAGAGAGTCATTTAGTACCGGCCCCACTGGCTCCAGAAGATCCTAGCTTATCTTATTACATACCCTATAATATATCGAAAAAGAAATTTCGTGTCGGTTTCGATGCCTCCAGACGATGGTCTGGTGTATCATCCAACGACCTTCAGTTGCCAGGTGGAAAGCTGCAAGGTGACTTGTATGAGACTTTGTTGTTGTTTAGGAATTACCGTTTCGCGTTAACTGCAGGTATCATCAAGATGTTTCGTCAGGTTTCCAGCGATTTTTTTTCGCCCTTGGATTGGCCATTCAATTGGTGAATACTACATCACCGTCTGGTTTCAATGCTGTTAGGGCACTCCAACAATGTGCTTTGGATGAAGCCGAAAGATTTCCTCTTGCTTCAGTGGCCACGCTAACAAATTTTTACATGGACGACGTTTTAGGCGGAGCTGAGTTCATTGAGGAGTTGCAAAGCCTGTACAGGTAGATGATAGATATGCTTAAATCTGGCGGTTTTCAATTAGCTAAATGAGCGAGTAACAATGTCGAATTTGCTAAAGAATTCACCAACACCGGACTTGCGAGATTGAATTGCAGGTTAAGTCAGGAATACTTGGCATGATTTGGGATCCAAATTCCGATAATTTTTATATCAAAATACGAGGCTACCCTGTGGAAAACACGAGACCATTTACAAAACGTCAGATCATCAGTCACATCGCCCAGGTGTATGATCCTACAGGTCTTTATGCGCCAGTTATCATAGCGGGCAAAATCATTATACAGGACGTATGGAAGTTGAACTTTGGTTGGGATGACGCCATTACAAATGGTATCATGGATTTGTGGAAGTTATTTCAACAAAGCGTGATCTATTTAGCAGACATTCCAGTTCCAAGGTGGATAGCGTTTTCAGAAGCAATTAAAGTACAACTGCATCTGTCTAAGATTCTACTTTAACTAAAACTGCGCCATTTGAATCACCCTGTAATTTACTTTTTGCTTTTCTCTATTATTTCTATTCGGAGTAAATTGATCTGTAATTTTTCTGATTTCCTCCTTCTCAACTTGGACTTTTAATAAATTGGATGTGCGATTAAGCTGAGCTCACGTTTTTTATTACACATTTTGGTGCCTCCTGTGAGGACTTTTAATAAACGCAATATAACTTCAGCTTAATTAGCACTTTTCGACGCACAAGTACTTTGTTTTGGATCGGGCCTGATTTCGCAGATAATTGTGGATATTTTCTTCGATCTAGGAAATCACAGAAATAAATCTGCGAAAGTTCCATGCGGCCGCTATTTTGCGGATGTATGTGCAAGTAAAGGAGGCAAAGCCTGGTGAGCTCAACGTCACCCAAAATGATCAACGCTTAAAATCTGCTGCAGTGCATTTTGATCGGTGTGGTGGGACTCCACCGAAGCTACCTACATGGACTTGTGCGCAACGCTGAATCAACTTCGAAAGGGATTTGAGTGTGACTCTCAGTCGTCAACCAACAAGGCTTCGCCGATGGAATTAAAATTAGAGCCACTTTGTATACCATCATTTGACGGCTGCCCCCATAAGTGGCTTGCATTCAAGGATTTGTTTGAGACGTTGGTACATAATCGGGATTTGCCGGTGGCTTACAAGCTGGGGAAACTACGCCAAGCTGTTAAGGCAGAGTCGGTTCCGTTAGTAGGAGGGTTGTATTCAGGTGGGTACGAGGAAGTGTGGAAGGCGCTGAAAGATCGGTATGACAACCCTAAGCAATTAGCGGAGATTCACGTTGCTAGAGTTTTGAACATGAAGTCAATGGCTGAGGATACGTCCAAGGAATTATTGGGCGTCGTTGATGTGGTAAACGAATCCTTGCGAGCGTTAACGGTAATGAAGTTACCTGCCGACAAGTGGGATGCCCTTACCGTACCCATTGTGGTTTCTAAACTCTCCGCTAGAACACAGCGAGAATGGTGTATGCATTTCTCTTCCACCGAGCTATCAACTTTAATTGCCTTGCTAGCGTTTTTAGAGAAACGAGCACATAGTCTCTCAACTGAGTTTTGCCAGGTAGCGGATCGTCCCGACGTGCCGCATTCTTCCTCAAAGCAGAAGAAGACTCCCCGCTCTCTAAAGTGCAACCTCGCCGCGACTGGCGATGGCAAATGTCAGCACTGTCAAGGACCACACAAGGTTATGCGTTGTCCGGCCATTCTGGCTATTGGGCCGGATCAACGCTTTGAAGCTCTAAAGCGATCGAATTTGTGCTTTAACTGTTTGCGACCCGGACACCCATCTAAACTATGCTGCTCCGGCAACTGCCGCCAGTGCGGCCACAGACATCATACGATTTTTTGCCGCAACAAATCACAGCAACTTAGTACATCTGACGGGGTAGATACTCCTATGGCTAAACCAGACAGTATAGCCAATCCAGTCCCACCATCATTATGACTAGCAAGCAATACAACCATTACCAACGTCGGCAAAGGAAGTCAAACGATTTTTCTGGCTACAGCGCGAGCCTACGTATTCGGCCAGGGTCACAAGCAGCGAACATCCCGTATATTATGCGACCCTGGTTCTGAAGTAAGTTTATTTTCCGAAAGTTTGGCTAATAGTTTGGGTCTTTATAGGTGCAAGTGTGAGATCATGGTGGAGGGCATTGGCGGAGTTGCGTGTACGAGAACCAAGGGTAGCGTCCGCTTTACAATAAGAAGCATATTTTCTCAGTTTGAGCTAGACATTCACGCATTGGTCATTGGTTCGATTAGTTCAGTTACCCCCGCGGTTAGCGTCGATATTGGTCAATGGGGACATTTGGCAAATCTTCAATTGGGAGACCCATATTTCGGTACCGCGGGTAATGTTGATGTACTTCTTGGTGTTGATGTCTGGGGTTCGATCGTTGAGAAAGATGTCATACGACTTGGTTGGGTTGTATTCGGACCAGCATCAGTTCAGAGCACTTCGAATGCAACAGTTGGAATTTATTGCACGCAGATTAGAGACGAACCTTATTTAGAGGATCTTATCTGCAATTTTTGGAAGCTTGAAGAAGTACCCGTTACATCCAAGTGCTTGGATGATGAATGCGAGCGGTTCTTTGCCACTACTCACCGCCGTACGGCAGAGGGATGCTATATTGTGAGGCTGCCCCTCTGCCAAGACTGTCAACCATTAGGCGACTCTTACGTCAGCGCCCGGCGACAGTTATCACGTTTGGAACGACGTTTGACCGCTGATCCGGACATGCATGCAAAATATTTAGCATTTATGAGGGAATATGATACCCTTGGCCACATGGAGAGAGTTCTTGAGCCATTCGTTCAGCCTGGATGCTATTATATTCCGCACCATGCTGTGGTGGGAATATTCCGCGTGGTATTTAACGCGTCCGCTCCTACTTCGAACGGGCTCTCACTCAACGATTTACAGCTCGTTGGCCCTCCCATTCAAGATTCGTTAATCAACATTATACTCCGTTTTCGACGTTATGCGGTCGCTATCACCGCCGATGTGGAGAAAATGTTTCGCCAGGTACTCGTGGCACCGCAAGATAGAGAGTTTCAGCGGAAGTAATTACTTACCGACTGTCTACTGTCACGTATGGCATGGCGTGCAGTCCTCATAATGCGGTAAGAGCTATGCATCAGTGTGCGTACGACAATTTTGACAAGATTCACGATCGCAATATGGGCATTATGGCGCGGGACACCATTCTCTCGTCATTCTACGTGGATGATTTCCTTGGCAGTTGCAGCACCGTCGAAGGTGCTATCACTTTGGCATCCAATATCGATAACATATTGACAGCTGGATGTTTTAAGCTGCGGAAGTGGAATTCAAATAGCGCCACTGTCTTAACTCAGATGGGTAGAGACTCATCGCCTACAGAATACAGTATTGATGCAGCCTTGACCTCAGTTTTGGGTCTGCTCTGGAGTCCGGTCGACGACAACTTGCTATTCAATGTGGAACTTAAGCAGCCCGACGGCATATGCACCAAGCGCAGTGTACTCAGCGAGGTGGCGAAGCTGTTTGACCCAACGGGATTCTTGTCACCGGTCGCGGTTGTCGGTTCAAACTCTTTGGTCCGCAGGTATTGATTGGGATACTACCCTGACAACTAAATTGCGGGAAACTTGGCTTAAATTTCGCAATGACCTCAATGCTCTCAATATGTTGCGGATACCTCGTTGGCTTGGGATAAAAGAGGAGTCGGCCACCACGCTCTATGGGTTTTGTGATGCCAGTCAAAGGGCATATGCTTCTGTGATGTACGCTAAGACAACCGATCTCCAGGGAAACGTTCACGTGTCTTTAATAACTGCAAGGACTAAGGTAGCATCTCTAAAGGGAGCCACAATACCTCGTTTGGAGCTGTGCGCGGCACTCTTATTATCCGAAACTCTTCGAAACGTCAGAGAGGCATTAGGATTGGTCAACCAAGTTGCCTATTTGTGGTCTGACTCGACTATCACCCTCTGTTGGCTGCGAAAGCACCCAGACACGCTGAAACCATATGTATCCAACAGAGTTCGGCAGATACAAGAGTTGACTTTGAAGGATGAATGGCATTATGTACGTTCATCGCAAAATCCAGCCGACTGCGCCAGTCGGGGTGTACCGGCTTCAGAACTTTTAAAGCACCATTTATGGTGGAGTGGTCCCAGCTGGCTACGCGACGATAAGGTAGGACCCCCTTTCGAACCTAAACTACATAATGAAGATGAAGCTATAATAAATAGTGAAAGGAGGGTACAGTGTTTAACCGTCACAGCCACTCACCCAACTTTGACAACGCGACGTTTAGATGGAGAAATTATTCCGCTTACGGATCGATTCAGCTCGCTGAAGAAACTTCTGCATACCATAGCTTTAATACTGAGGTGGCTTCCGAGAAGCCGTGGCTTTCGGCATCCCACAATAGACGCACAGGAGATCGGGGAGGCATTAGAGTGGCTTGTGAGGATCGATCAAGGGAATGCTTTTCTGAAGGACATTAGGTGTCTGCAGGGTGGGTTAGCGTTAGCAACTTCGAGTAGTCTACTTCCGTTAAACCCTTATCTGGATGATCATAGCTTATTACGGGTTGGAGGTCGCATTACTAAATCTACATTAATAGAGACCCATAGGCACCCAATCATTCTTCCGAAGTCGACGGGACTAGTCCGCCTGCTCATTAGACAGGCACATATAGAGACTCTTCATGGCGGAACCCAGCTGACTCTTCAAACTCTTCGCTGTCGCTTTTGGATTATACACGGGATAGTAGCGGTGCGTAGCCGGATTCTCAAATGTGTCGTTTGTCGTCGGAACCGAGGTGCTGTCTTAACGCAACAAATGGCTCCGCTACCTCGACATCGTGTCAATGCGGTTCGACCCTTCATCGCGTCCGGAGTTGATTACTGCGGTCCGTTCAACTTGCGTATTGGATCCAAAAGATCACGGACTACGGTAAAAACATACTTAGCTATTTTTATTTGTATGGCGACGAAAGCTGTCCACATTGAGGTGGCTGATGATCTTTCTACGCAGGCTTTTTTAGACGTGTTCACTCGGTTTATTAGCCGGCGAGGTCCCTGCAGGAACTTGTTCAGCGACAACGGTACTGCGTTCGTAGGAGCTAACCGCGTTCTGAAGGAGGATTTGGCTGCCTGGCACCACGATCAAAATATCCAGTCCCTCGCTGACTTGGGGAACCGATGGCACTTCATCACGCCGAGCGCCCCCCATCAAGGGGGGTTGTGGGAAACAGCAGTAAAATCTGCAAAGCGGCACTTAGCCTTGTGGTACTCCCAGCTACAAACTCCATTCGAGGCTTGTTTGAATTCTCGGCCACTCGCACCGTTGCACGATGACCCTGACGACAGGTATGCACTAACTCCCGCAGATTTTTTAATAGGGTCTCCGATTCTAGCCATCCCAGAGCCAGACGTTTCGGAGATTCCCGCCAATCGAGTGAAGCATTGGCAATGGTTACGGCAGATGCACCAGCTCTTTTGGCAACGATGGAATGAGGAGTACTTGGCAACCTTGCAGACTAGGACCAAGTGGCAACGACGTGTTCCTAACGTAAAGGTGGGTGACATCGTGGTAGTACGCCAAGAAAGTCTACCACCTACGCATTGGAGGCTGGGACGCGTTACTGAGGTCCACCAGGTCACCGACGGAGCCGTACGAATCGTAACACTTGCAACCGCGCACGGGTTTTGCACCAGGGCCGTGCAAAAGCTGTGCGTTATGGAGAATGATATTGAAACTAACGTTCCAACCGGGGAGGATATCTAATATTCTACTTTAACTAAAACTGCGCCATTTGAATCACCCTGTAATTTACTTTTTGCTTTTCTCTATTATTTCTATTCGGAGTAAAATGATCTGTAATTTTTCTGATTTCCTCCTTCTCAACTTGGACTTTTAATAAATTGGATGTGCGATTAAGCTGAGCTCACGTTTTTTATTACACAGCATCTTTTTTCGGATGCATCTAAGTTGGCATACGGAACCTACGCCTATCTTCGGTCGATTCAGGATGATGGGACGGTGATTGTACGTCTCATTACTTCACGTAATAAGGTTGTGCCAACTAAGCTGCAGTCTATCCCCCGTTTAGAAATAATGGCAGCGGTGATGAGTATCAACTTATGCAAATTTATTTGTAAGGCTTGTAAACTACCCGAGGTAGGTATTTATTATTGGACCGACTTCACTATCGTTCTATATTGGCTCAGAAAAACCACAAGGCGCTGAAGCCATTTGTAGCAAATCGACGAATGGTGTCATGTGCCCGGAGATCAAAATCCGGCTGATTTATTGTCAAGAGGCTGCAGGGCCACGCATTTAAAAGGCTGCCAATTATGGTGGAGTGGGCCTCTGTGGCTTGGTAAGGAGGTTAATTCTTAGCAAAGCTGTTTTCGCCTTAATCTTTCCCCTAATGACTTGAGCGTAGACGAGGCTGAATCTAAGGTGATTGTTTACAATGCGCATATTAACAGCAATTCCGTAGTGCCTAAGACAATGTTAACGGTTGGGTATGATGAACCATTGATAGAAAGATGTTCCACATTGAACAAACTTCTTAGAACAACCGCCTTTGTGTTTCGTTTCGGAGAAGTTACAAAAAGTAGAGGCCGCAAATTAGCGAAGCATCCAGCTGCTTTTCAAGAAGTTGCTCCCGCATCACCATCGGAGCGTGAAAAATCCACCAAATATTGGTCAATGCAGTCACAATTGGAGTTCTTTTTACTGGAGCGGAAGGCCCTTTTGGAGAAAAGAGTAGTTTCAAATAAATTGAGGTTGCTACAATTATGTCCGTTCATAGATAAAGAAGGTGTGTTACAGGTAGGAGGGCGGTTGAGTAAATCGAGCCTTCCTTTAGCAGCAAAGCACCAAGTGATCCTGCACCCAATGTCAACATTCGCCAAGCTGATAATTGCTGATGCTCATGCTCGCGCCATGCACGGTGGCGCCCAATTAACTATTGCAATTATACGTCTGACGTTCTGGATTCCTACTCTCCGGGTTGCGGTCAAAAAGGTCATCAGTAACTGTGTCATATGTGTTCGATTTAGAAAGGATATGACCCAGTAAATGATGGGTTCAATGCCAGCTGATAGGACCGAACGAACATTTCCATTTTCTGTATCGGGAGTCGACTTCGCAGGTCCTTTTGAAGTTCGGAAGGCACCGGCTCCATCGGTGAATTTACGGAAGAGTTCAGCAAGATCCTACAGGCCGCCAGCAACTATTAAATGCTGGGTAGTGGTTTTTGTATGCATGTCTACACGTGCCGTGCATTTAGATGTCGCGCTCTTAGAAGTGTTCACAAGATTTGTAAGCCGTCGTGGGCACTGTAGTAATCTTCGCAGTGACAATGGGACGAACTTCGTCGGCTCCAATAAGAAGTTTCAGCGAGTGCGTCAGGAATGGAAGAAAAGGTTTCCTGAGCTAGCTAACTTGCTGAGCTACCTAATTTGGGAACTACCTGGTAGTTTAACTCCCCAGCTGCGCCGCACCAAGGTGGGTTATGGAAGGGCGGGGTTAAATCTATGAAATACCACCTACGGAGAGTCATAGGCCGGCGCATATTGTCAGTCAATCAGTTTTATACAATTCTTACTCAAATCGAATGCTGTTTAAACTCGCGTCCCTTATCGCGTTTAACTGATGGCCACGATGATTTGGAAATTTTGACACCTGGCCATTTTCTGGTTGGGCGACCATTGATGCATCATCCACCATCAGAAGATTTGTCGGGTTGCAACGATAACCATCTCACACTATGGGGGCAACAACAAAAATTTACGAAATTGTTCTGGCTACGCTGGAAGGACGGATTTCTTACTTCTTTGCAGAAACGGTCGAAATGGTATCACCCGCGTAAAAACATCAAACCTGGAGACATGGTGCTTGTATTAGAGGAAAATCGTCCTCCTGCAGTTTGGCCGGTAGGGCGAGTCGAGAAAGTCTTCTCAGGGGCAGATGGGCTAGTGAGAAACGTTAGCGTTAAAACTTCTACAGGCATGAAGGATCGCCCAATTCAGAAGTTGTGTGTGCTTCCGGGTGAACACAAATAAGTATCCAGTCCCACTGAAAGGTTTTCCCTTCTCCCTCGCACAAATGTGGACCAGATGTTTTGTTTGTTAGCTCTCCTCTTTTCGGAGGGGGGAAGCGGGGGTGGATGTTGAATATGTGCGATATGTTACTTGGTAAATATGTTACTAGTGTGCTATGCGATTGAACGATTGTCGTTGATTGTCATATGAAATAAAGAGAATATTTTCATTGATTTTGTTATATTCATTGCAAACAGACGTTTTATATTTCACTGGAATAATTTCAATAATTTCGGCAACTGCCGCAACAGACCCAGTAAGTGGAGGACATTGCGGACTCAAAAGACTGTGTGCGAAAATTCGTGCTAAGAACTTCTGGAAAAACATGAGCCGTGATATATCAAAATTCGTAAAAAGTTGTGAGAAATGTATACTGAAAAACGTTTAACCTAAAAACAGAGAAAATCTGGTTTTAACACCAACGCCTAGTAAATCTTTTGAAGAAGTAATTATTAACACAATAGGCCCTTTGCCAGATACACGATATGGTCACTATAATCTGCGATCTCACAAAATACTTAGTAACTATCGCGATACCAGACAAAAGTGCCAAAACTGTGGCTTCAGCTACTTTTGAAGGCTACATATTAATATATGGCCCAATGAATTCTATTAGGATTGATTTAGGAACTGAATATAAGAATGCAATTTTTCAGAACTTACTAAACTTTTAAATATAAAACACAACTTTTCAACAGCACATCCTCACGAAACCGTGGGAACGATTTAACACAACCAAGGAGTTTCCCTGCAGGCAAAAGCACCGGCACTGGATATATCACATACCTGTCTGAAAGAGAAGATACCGATCACAGTTCCGGTTCAATTATATGAAAACGACCGGCAACTTTAACACGGAGTTGTCATTGGCAGTGACCGATTGCCACCGCATAGAGACTCCGGTGGCAGAACTGTGACGACCTGAGAAAACCTGTCCCCTGGCAAACCCCGTTTACCCATTTCGTGACTTGTTTAAAAGAACCTATCACGAATACCTCCCTGCCCTTCTTAGAATTGATGATTTCTTAAAATTTTTTTACGTTATTTATTCATAGAAATGAAAGAAATTCAGTTATTTTCGAAATATATATACATTTTTTACATTTCGATTTATGTACATATGTACATATATGGGTCCTGTTATTTAATATGCTATTCACTTATAAAAAATTAACGAGCATTAAACACGCAAAAGAATAATATTCAAAAGTGGTCATATGTCGACTACTACTATTTTGTTACATATTTTAAGCAAAAAATAATCAATTTAATAACGAAGTTAACATATTAATATACCCTTAGTCACAAAACTGATATACGATGATTAGTTTTACTATTTGCAATGCTTTTCATATTAAATATTTTTTTGTTAATCCATATTGTATTAAAATATGGCTTAAGGTTTAACAAACACTGTATAAATCCAATTTTTGAACTTTATACGAAATTTATGAGAAATTTGGAGTTTCACCTAAACCACAAACTTTTTAATAAGAATTGGATTTATACGGTGTCTGTTAAAACTTAGCCCATGTTTAATGCAAAATTAACAAAAAAATAAAATTTAGTTTGAAAAACAATGCTAATATTAAAAGACACCATACACTTACTCAGTTTTCTTGTATCCTGTTTAGAAAATCATTGAATCATTAATATAAAGAAAAATGTGTGAAAAATAATACAAAACTTCATTTTAAAACTAAGAATTCATCGAATTTCGTCAATGGACTTTAAAAGAGTTTATACTCATTATTTATTATCATCGCTGGTGGCATTTCTTTTATTCGTAAGCAACTTTTTTAACTGCCGCTTCTTTGATAAATGAATCGCTTTTCGTATTTTTTCTTCAGCACCTTCTGCGCCATATATCGAAATAACGCAATCTGAGAAAAAATAAAAATTAGTAAATTAAATGTCCTATTAATTAGGACATTTTGTTCTGCCAAAGCTTCCATTATAATTGTATTTTGATGATTCGTTCTATCTGGAAAAAATGATCGGAAATAGTTTTAATAAAGATACAATAAATATTTCTTTGAACTTTGGGCAATGTGAGTATTAAGCTGCTTCGAAATATGCATTTACCTGCTAGTTCTTGGAATTTTTGATCAATTTTGTCCTCTAACCTTTTACAATTTTCACATCGTTTTTCACCTATAATAAAATGAAGTTAATACGTAAAACCTGGAAATCTTAAATGTAGTAAATATTTACCTTCGAGTAGAACCTGTTCGTCCTTTGAGTTAAGGTGCTTCAATGCTCGATTTTGCATTTTTGGGATTTCCCTTGAAAAATGTTGATAGAAAAGGTAAGTTAGAGTTTTATATAACTTATATATGTGTGCATGCAATTTGGTTTTCGATTGTTTAATTTAGTTGTGTTTGTTTAAAAGCAGCCATGTAGGATTGGAACTAACAAAATTTTGTTCTGATATGGTAAGCCTATACATTTGCATTTAATTTTGGATGTGGGAAAACTCTCCTCTAAGTCATTAATATTTTCATCGACTAAACATATTCCTAAAAGCTTTAACGAATCTATAGGCTGACTAAAAAAATGCGTTTGATTTAGAAATCGCTTTCCGATTACAAGGTTGTTCTCTTTATCAAAACTTTTGATTGTGAGGGGAATATCCGGTAAGATAAAGCAATAGTTATCAGGGAATTTGGTACTAAAAATATATTCTGAGGTCACAAACTTTTTAACACGATTTTTCTCTTCTACAAATCCTTCCTGTTGTGATGAAATGCGACGGTTTTCGTGTTTAACGTTATTGTAAATTTGCTTGAGTACGCATTGTGGTTTTTTTACGTAGCCTTTTAAAATCTGAAGATAATTTTCGAAGCCATAGGCCGAAAAATTTTGCAAAACACCAAATTGCTTTACACACTCGGTAAGATGTAAAAGACTGTGTACATTATAGCTCACACTATTTTCTTTGAAAACTATTGGAAAGTTTTCCACAAATAGGCTTAGCATATTTTGACAAAGCGATATATTTTCTTCGTAGGATCTTGGACACGATAGAAGTCTGCATGAGCAGTGGAGTAAGAGGAATTCATAGTAGAGTTCATCATGAATGCTTCCTTTTAATGCCAGTATCCCTGTATAAAGCAAAAATTGGCGATATTCCGTTGCTTTCCAATGAACAATGTCTTCAAAACCTCGCGGTCGACGGGAAAATTCTAGTGGAATATACTTTCTAAGGGAGACTAATTTAGTCGAAATGGTACTAAGATTTTCCTTAGGAGCTTTGTACTCCAAACTGGTTTTGTTGTTCAGCAAGCGTATTAGAAATTTCCTTACCACCCCTAAATCAATAAGGTGCATAGTGTCAAGAGCAATTTGGCTTACCATTTTTATATTAAGAGTTTCCAAGGGAGAAGCCTCTGACCTAAACTTTTTGCTGAAGTGATTTTTCAGTCGCCTCTCCGTGAAATCTTCATCTGTAATTAGTTTGTCTGAATTTGTAGTGTACGTCAAAACCTGATCGATTTTCCGTGCTACCTGTGTACACTTGGAACAACCGTGGGAAGATGTGTGTCCAACTGTGCCACATATAAAAGCTGTAGCCGGAGCATCGCAAATCACCGCCCTCAATCTAAGCTTAACTATTTTATTACTAACGCAAATACCAGTCTTCGAAAGATTATCATATTCTTGAACAAAATCCAGCAAATAAACTTCTAAATCTTTTGGTTTTTGTTTTCCAATGTAAATACCTACTGGCAAAATGTTATTGACTTTAAAGTTTAAAATTCTTATCAAAATTGGCCAGAGTTGAACCCTTGAGCTTCTAAACAAAGGTATTCCGTCAACATTTATGTCGAAAACGATTTCTTCGAATTGAGAAACATAATCACCAAAAGACATTAATTGTTTTTCTATGCCAAAATGAGAATAAAACCCAGGAGGTACACTCTTAATAACCAACTTGCTTTTTTTTGGTATGAGGCTTCTAATATCCCTTGGGACATCGAGATTTTGTCTAGCAAGAATTGCAAGTATATCATTGCAACACTCCCTACTTGGCTTGTGTTTCAAAGCCCAATCTTTTAGCTGCTCTTTTAAAGAAATTGGACGCACACTGTTAGCAGGATCATTTCCAGAAACTATATTTGCATTTGATTGCAAATGAGACTCATAATCGCGTGGTTCAGATGCTACCGGGACACTCACTACCTCGCTGGTTGGTTTATATTGAAGTTTAGATAAAAATTCTTTTCTTTTATTGCTTACCAACCTTTTTAAGTTTCGCCGACTTCCCAGCATTTTATTTGATTTATTAATGTCCACAATTTAATAAAAACGCGAATCACTTCACACACGAAAATGCTTTTATTTTTCTTTTCTATAAACGTTTCACATGTAAATCAGCTGTTTCACATCTATGTGCCGAGCAAGAAGTTTTATTACGCCGAACTTATAATTTTCGATGGCCGGCTCATGTTTTCTAGAGTAAAGACGTACGGAAAAGTGTGTATTATTCAGGGACGGTAATTATTATGAGTAAAATAATTTAAATCAGCATTTAATCATTATTTTATGATTTTTATATTTTTCGCTCAACGGAAATGATTATTATTTGATTTTTATTTTTTCGATCACAAATAATGATTATTTTATGATTTTTATTTTTTTCGCTCAGAGATAATAATTATTATTGAGTTTTATTTTTCCGCTTAAAAACAATGATTATTTATGAAATTGAAAAGGCCATACAGACGCAACTTACTGAAATTTTGACGTGAAAATTTTGGAACTTATTCTTCTTATTAGGGTGTCGCTACCTCTAAAAAGGATACAACGGAAATCACGCTGCTATAGCTTTTGAGTTTTCCTGTATGATCATTATTCTTAACTGAAATATTCTTCTTAATCAAATATTAATTATTATTATTATTTTTAATTTATTACTACGAACACAAATACGTGAGTATAGTTATAACGGTTTTACGACGATTAAAACTTGTTAATTTTTTTTGTTAAAATTTAAAAAATAATGTTTATTTTCCGTCTCTGGTATTTTTAATGCCCTCCGCGTGATTATAAAGGCGGCGTTTTAATTATTTCGCCGCCGTAATTCTCCTATCCATTCGGCTTTTTTCGTACAAGCTAGCGAATGCTGAAAGTAAACAAAAGCTGAACTGATACCCACTACATCACCAAGAGTGGTCACCGTAGTGGCACTCTTTTCTCCTGTCAACTTACACTATGTGGCAAATTGTCACCGTTTGTCTGAAGGGTTTTAACGAATATTAGCGCGCTTATTTTGCGAAACATTTTCTGACTGGGACACTTATTTGAAATATTTCAAATTTTTACATAATACAACGCCTAATACTGTATTTGATAACCAATTTACTCCTTTCGAACTAGTTTTCGGCAAAAAAGCAATTTTAACGCACGAATTGTGAAACGAAAAGACACGGTATATCGCATTGGAAACTATGCGAAAGAGGTTAAATACCGTATGCAAAAATCACATGCAATAGCCAAAGAATTAGTTAATGAACATAAAGCCCGTAGTAAAGATTTGTACGATAGACACTCTCGTCCAGTACAAATTTAAGAACATGATCTAGTGCTAATACAAAAAGAGCCCAGAGTCGAACATGAAAGTATATATCAAGGGACACACGTTGTACAAAAAGCAGACGGTGCAAATGTTACGGTTTTCGACAAAACCAAAAATAAATTAAAAACGGTTCACAAAAACCGCATTCAAAAAGTCTCATAACCTACCTTTTAATGAATTTAATTAAAAATGTAAGTAAGTTTCAAGTCACGTCACACAAATATAAATACTAGTATGATGTTCAGAGATTAAGCTGTAAAGTTAATTAAAATATGTACATGTGCATAAACATGCGCAATAAGTCATGAATTATATTGCAAATCTAGTTTGAAATAAATAATAAAAAAAAAAACTTTTTAATATACAACGCTTTTATAAATGGACTAAAAAGTAGAAAATAATATTTCTCAGTCCCATAGAATTTGTTTTGATAACTTTTGATTTTGAAATTTTAGCAAAAGTCATTATAAACAATCTATGAAATTGAAAATGAAAAGCGTGGGGCGCATGTAATACACTTGAATTGATATGAAAAGTAATATATGTATGTATGTATGTGGGTATATGAATAACGACCGCTTAAAATCGATTTCAAAGTTCTACTTTCGCTGTAGAAATTTTAGGTCTACGTTATGTAGTTTGACTATTGTCAATTAAATCGAATGGTTTGTATTGCATGCGCTCCACGTTTTTCATTTTCAATTTCATAGATTGTTTATAATGACTTTTGCTAAAATTTCAAAATCAAAAGTTATCAAAACAAATTCTATGGGACTGAGAAATATTATTTTCTACTTTTTAGTCCATTTATAAAAGCGTTGTATATTAAAAAGTTTTTTTATATTATTTATTTTCTACTTTTTAGTCCTGTCTGAATAAAATTTTGTAATAGATATTAAAATAATTCAACGATATTAATAGAAAGGTGCACACACATGCATTTACATATGTATGTACATACAAACGAGCACCAATTAATTTTATTTAAAGAAATGGCGTGTCGTCTATTTCCGCTGTAGCAAACGTAGTACATAGGGCGACATCTAGATGTCATCTACTTCGCCCTATTCACTACAGCTGTCGCCCTATGCACTATGCTTTTTTATAGGAACTTTTCAAAGCTTTGCTTTGGTGTCGGACACACAACATTGAAAGTTTCTGGATCCACAACATTGAAAGTTTCTGGACGCACAATATTGCAAGTTGATAAAAGCGTTGTAATAAAATAGTTCCTTATTTTTGTGAACAAGTAATTTCCAAAAGTAAAATATATTTGAAGATATACCATTAAATCAAATTTTGGCTTAATAAACCTTATATAAGTATATATTTTATATTTAATTGGAGAACATATAAAGAAAATTGCCAATCACCTCTACTAATTCAATTAAACTCAAACAAGCAAATATAGGGCGGTATTATCACTTGCGAAGCGAATGAATTTGACGAAGCTAACGGTTTAGTGAAGCGAATGGATTAGCGAACGCAACTTAAATATGCATTAAGAGTGTTCGCTAGAGCTGGAAAACTATCGATGGTCATGGCCATCCTTGGCATACCTTTCCAAAAGCGAAATAAAATCCATTGACATTATTGCTCTTTCAAACATTAAATTTGCTTAGGTTCGCGGCGGCCCGCGTCCGCGTGCGACCGACGCGCCACCCCCACGCACTATGGGCCATATGACGAGTTTAGCCGGAAAAAAATCAAAATGAAATTTTGATGTTCTGATAATTCCAACTTGTTAAGATATATGTTATCCTTGGGTGTTTGAAAGCCCACTTTGTTATTTTTTTGTGTAGGCCAAATTTGAAGTTTTGTAACTTTGTTTTTTGAAAAGTACAAAAATCAAATAGACATGCTTAAAAAGTGGTATTTTGTTCATCACAGTGGTGCACCAAGACGCTGGAAAAATGCTTTTGGCATAGAAAACGATGCTATTTTTTATGAAATAAAAACCATTAATATATGATGAGGGACGTAGCTAGAGTAATGTGTCAAAATTAGGCGTTTTTCCGTCAACAATTATCAACAAAGTCGAACTTTTTTGGACAATCTAAACACTGTATGGTCATGTATTTTTCTTAAAATTTTTTTGTGAAGCTCTTCATGATATATTCTTTTAGATACTATTTAAGCCAGACCTTGCACGACCTTGCAACAATGTTAAACTCCACAATAATGAAATACGAAAAAATTGGCATACCTACCCAAAAGGGATCAAATGTACCATATACCCCCATTATTTTTCCTTCCCCAACAATATTTTCCTGGGAGCATATCCCTATATCCTCTCCTTTGGAAGGACCCATACAAAAATTACATTTTTTTTATATAGCTGGCCAATCTCAAATTTCTGTTTAATGTAGGTAAGGGCGCAAATTTTTTGGCGCTGACACACTAACTCCAGCGCCCCTGTTGGAATCAGCACAGCGTGTTGGCGCAATTGCGCCACTTCAGGCTAAAGCTCATTTCCTTTATTGCTGCACGCTGCACCAAAGTGAATTAATACAAGGTGATATCGGTTGAGAAAAAATTCAAGTATACCCAAGTTCAAAACCCAAAAATACAACAAACCCATCATTTTCACATTCAGAAGGACCGCAACGAATTCTAACAACACCACCTTGTATAAATTCGCCTTGTGCTGCACATTTTACAAGAGACACTTCTATTTCGGGTGTTCTTTGCGACACCCGGTGTTGCCAGTGTTCCGGTGTTGAACTTAGGTGAATTAATACAAGGTGGTATCGGTTGGGCAAAAACAACTCAAGTATACCCAAGTTCAAAACCCAAAAATACAACAAACACATAATTTTCACATTCGGAAGGACCGCGGCTAATTTTAGCAACACCACATTTTAAAAATTCGCCTTGTGCTGCACATTTTACAGGTTCCACTTCGCTTTTGTGTGTTCTTTGCTGGTACTTTGGGCCGCCTGGTGTTGTCAGTGTTCCGGTGTTGCTGGCGCCATTGCGTCACTGAGTTGTGAAACTCTCGGTATCAGCGCAATGGCGCGGCGCCGCACTGTGTTACCCACGGCCAATGTAGCGAAACTCATTAGTTTTGATATCTTCTAGGTAAACAATGTTTTCCAACCGGACTCATAGTTTAGGAGCTAACCATTGATACATATATCGAAAATTTTGCATAATAAAAAAAAATAATATAATAAATACTTTCGGTAAAAATATCAACATTAAAGAACTTTTTAACTTCCGGATACTTGGACGCCAAAGCATGATAAATATTCTACAAATACAATAAGACCCTGCTCATCTAAATTGGATAACAAATATAGAAGTGATGAGCACTTAAGTAGAGATACATACAAACAGTTTCTATAAAACTGTATGATTTGCATATTATGAATTACACATTACAGATGGCTTACAGATTAGACGTCCAAATATATATTATCAGGCAAACTGCCGACAAGGACTCTGTAGGACTTCGCAAAAAATGTATTCAATCTCGTTTCAAAAGTGAAATGGGCTTAATAATTGATGGCGTAAAGCCTGGATATGGCACAACTAATAATGGCAACACTGCAAGAAGATTTTTTTATATAATCTTGAGTTGCTTATCATCAGGATTTGAGATTAGTATTGACGCTTTTCAAAAATTCCTCCAAGAAACCAGACGAAGGCATACGAGTGGTATCCTATGCCAGTCAGTGTTCATAAGATATTATCCCATGCTACTGAGGTTATAAAAAATTGCATCGTGCCAATAGGGCAGCTATCTGAAGAAGCTCAGGAAGCGCGCAATAAGGACGGCAGGCGATTCAGAGTGGCGCATACCCGAAAATCTTCTAGAGTCAACACGAATACGGATTTGCTTAACATGCTTTTGATAACGTCTGATCCGTTAATCAATACATACTGCCAAAAGCCATTAAAAAACTTTCGATCTCTGCC